TTCCCCCCCCCCCCCCCCCCGGCACTGTTTCCTTACCTTTCTATCCATCTCATTGGCTGGGATAGTATTTCTCTCCTCCCCCGTGGTCTTTAGGAACTTTTTCCCTTGTTACCGTGTATGTTACCTGCAGAAGGTGGAAGATAAGGTAATTTTGGAAAGGCATGAGGGAATTGCTCTTATGCTAAAACATTCAGCTCTCAAGTATTATTCTTAAAGCCATGTAAACATCAGCGTGATGGCAGCGTTGCCCGTTGAAATCTAAGCATTATACTGAGTATCTTGGGAATTTGATATGTTGTATGCCAAAGAGAAAGGAATGAAGGCAGCAGAGAAGTCTTTCTTTCTTAAGGAGGGGGATGAGGTAAAGGGAAGTGGTTTAGGAGACAAGAAATGGAGCTGCCTGTTTTCCAGTAAGTAATGGAGAAATTCCAGGAGCTGAGGCTAAATATACTTGGCAATCAATACAGAAATGGTTCATTGTGAATAATTTAACTGCTTGATGTAATAAGAGTTTTGAAACTAAAGGCAAAAGGGAGCTGGGGAACTAGGAGGGAAAAAATGAAATTCTTTTGGGGGCATGATTTTTTTTCCTTTTAAATTTCCACTTAAAAGAAAATGTTGATTATTTACTTTTTATTTCATTTTTATTCATATAGTAAGTGGCTGAGTGTCATCTAATATAGTTATTTGGATTTCTGGAAGGTAATAGCATGTTCCTTGCTAGCAAAGTGCTTCAAGAAACTTTTGAGATTGCAGTAATGCATGCAGTCTGGAACTACTTTAAAAATTGCTCCAGGGTTAAAAAGTTAGATAAGCTAGAATAAACTGGTTCCTGTGCAAAAATGTTATATCAGTGCTGTGGAAGCATAGATTTACCATTTTTTTGTTCAGCAGTTGAAAATACCATAGAAGAACCATAATGGCAAGAAACTCTGTAATACTGACATTTGACAGTACTTAAAATTCAGTCCAAAAAATATCTACTTGAGATATTCAGATTCCCTGTTGGATTTATTAACTAATACACTACTGCTCACAGCCTTAGCATAGCAGTAGCTGTTGATTGTTAAGGCACTGGCAAGCCAGTTAACACACACCTGACCTAAATAGGATTTATTTAGAAACTGGTTAGTAATTATTTTAGTGTGATTCTCCCTCGCCTCCTCCCCGGGTTCATTTTTGGAAAAAAAACGTAATTAACCTATTCTGATCACTGGGTGCTTTCAGAAAGATTCTAGGCAGAAAGCCTTCTGCTACTCAAACACTGGTTTGATTGGCAATGACAAAAAGGAGAGTTCACTAGGAAACCTAGATCTTCAAGAGTTGACAGAGTGAGGGCATCTTTGACGGTATACTTTTTGCTTTATAGCACTGCACTTTGATTATGGAAGTGGAGGCTACTGATGGATACCTGCCCTGTAAGTATCAGTTTAATTTTCTTTTCACCCTTTGGACTTTTACCTTATTGGAAGATGAAGTATTATGAACTATCTGTACTATTTAAAAAAAAAAAGTCTAGGTTTGGTCATTTCGATGACGCTGTGTAGATGTCTTGAAGGACAGAAGGTAGTAGACAGCCTATATGGAATGTAACAGTTCCCTCTTCGTGTTCTTTATTTTTTTAAATAAACTATACACTGTATGCAAAGGAACTGAATGTGAAATAGAAGGGGGTGTGGTCATTTCTTTGGCCTCTATTGACTCAGGACAATATTAAATTAGTGTTAATGCTGAGCAAGCCAATAAACAGATCTTTCTGCTATATCTTGTAAGCAGTTGTAACCTGAATGCTAGCCTTTAATATGTGGAAGAATCTAATAATCTTGGGAACAGAGTTACCAGAAACAGTTTTGTCCTGAGCACAAATAGCATTTTTTTCTATATAAAAACTGACAAAGTTTTTTTAAAAAAAATATAACAGGTGACCATGACCTTTCACCTGAAAGGAAGCACTCCAATATGGCAATTGACCTTACTTCAAGCACACCCAATGGGCAACATACCTCACCAAGTCACCTGACAAGCAGTAAGTTGTCTTTTAAAGTCTTTCGCATAATAGATTAATCTTATCCACTCTATGTGGTTGGTTCATATACATAGAATACAGGGCAGATTGATTCTTCATACTAATACCTAATCTAAACCGGAATGTGATTACTAGTCTGAATTATTCCTAAATTGCCAAGGAGTACTGGTGTTTAGTTGAACCTGATAGAAAAACTTGTTGGAAATTGGTGTAGCTTCTTTTGTGTTTACAATCATATCTACAAATTAGTTCCAAGCAAAAGCGGGACATTTCAGAGTATTCAGATATTCCAAAAATATATTTGGTGGACTGAATGACTGAAAAAACACATAAAGTGTTCTCTGTTACTGTTCAACGTCCCCTCCTTTACTTTGTGAGACTTTTTAAAATGAGTTCTGTGTTGTTGGATGTTTGTAACACTTTAAATGCTTAAAGAAGAGAATATACATTTCTCCTGGCTATAGTCACTTAGATTCATTTATCAGATAGCTGTGGATTGCTTCAGTGTTGGTTGGAATATTAGATGTTTGTTCTGGTTTGTACAACTGAGAATTTTGATTTTATAATTTTTCCATCTGCCTGATTTTCTTAAGAACATATTTTCATGTGGATTGCTCCAATTTTATGTTATTTCACACTTGACCATATTAATTATTTCAAGCCTGGTTTACCAGGTACTTTTTAAATTCTGTTTTTGTTGTGTTTATTGGCTTGGGACTGCAAGTAAATAGATAGTTATGTATTATACCAGATTAAACTCTGCTAGAAAAATGAAGTTTCAAGAATAAATTTGCAATAATAAAATATGATCTTTCTATTACTCATTACTGAGAGGGAGGCATTGCACTCAGCCATTTCTCCTGTCCTCCAGCAGTTTATGAGTAAAACAGATTTTATGGGTGCCTGAATTGCAGGGTTATTAGGAAACACTCAGTTATTATTTACATGTTGCTAATTAATATGGTTATTAGTATTCTGGACTAAATTTTATGGATTAGTCTCTCATGAGGTATATAAACAGCTCTTATACTGCGGAATAGAAGTTCAAATACAGTTTAGGTTTAGTTTTTCTTATGAGACTAGGAAGAGTGAAGCGTATAAGGAGCCAGTATTTTCTCAGTGGGTTTGATTTAGTTAAATATCCTTAAAACAAAATATAATGTAAAAATAACGATGTCAGAGATAGGGGATTTGATGTCTATTCCAGTTAATCTACTATGTATTTTTTGTGGCTAAAACTGAGACCTGAATAATAGGTAATAGTGAAAACTTTCTCAGTAATTCAGTCTTATCCTGTTGCTCTTCCAGGATTTAATTCCTTCAAATAAATAATAGAACAATTTGCACTGAGGCTCCTTTGAAAAGATCAGTTGAGAACTACATCCCTTACCATGGTCTAGTTTATTTGTATCTCGTTGAAACAAGAAGGAAGCCCATAACAGGCAATTTACTTGGTTTTTATGTACTGTAAATACTGTGTGTATCAGACAGCAGAAAGAAAAAAAAACTGCTTTCGAAACAAACCATTCTCACCCAACTATATTAAAATTACATGCTTTGGAGAGAGTGTTTTTTCCTCGTATTTATTAGCCTGTGGCAATTCCAAGTGAGTAAGACTTGGCTATACTATGAATGTTTTCATGTTTCCTTCCAAAAGGTTGCAGGTCAGATATTTTTGGCACATGTTTCATAGATGTCAGCTTCATCTTTTCATTACTGCATCTATAATTACATATACATAGATTATAGATGAAGCCAAGTTCTCTTCTTTTTAATGAGAAGTGCTACCTGCTACATTAGATTGGCTCATGTAATGTATTACATATACTTTGGAGAAAAACAGGCTGTGCTTTGGATTATTAATTTGAGTACCTTATTGACAAGTTTATAATTGAACATTGATGGGAAATATAAATAACAAACAGACCTTCTCTCTAATTTTGTTTCAGTATTGAATGATAATACAGCCTCTGATTGGTCTCATGGAAAAAAAGTTTCATTCATTGTCCATATTGAAATTGTAATGAATGAGTTGCATGAGCCTTTGCTACTGCAGATAGGAAAACTTTGGACCACAGTTGGTTCAAGGAGTTTTACTGATCAATACACTCAGGGGTGCTGATGATGCAAAGTATTGTAGACACTTATTTTTAGTGGGCAACAGTCCATGTATTTCAAGATTTTTATTCTGCTCTTGCCTGGCGGATGTCCTTCACATGTTGCTGTCCTAAGTAGCTGCATTGTTTGCCTCTACAGCTGAGCTGGCTTTGCCCTGGTCTGATCAAGGAGGAAAGATTGCTGATGGTTTTCACCTGCATGAAAGGAGAGACGAGACCCTTGCTCAGTCTGAGGAAGTAGTTGTAGTTAAAGGGTTGTAGCAGTGTGTTCATCACACTGATCTATGTAGCTATTGATATTCATATATCCACTCTCGGTTTCAAGCTCAGAATGTTTCTAGAATGTTGAAAACAGCCTGTTGAAGGGGCAGGGGGTTTGCGAAGGTTTGCACTTGAAATGATTCAAAACAAAATGTTTTGCACACCTCTGTAATTTAGTGATCTTAGTTGTTTCAGCATTGAGAAAAATATAGCAGCGGAGGAAATTTAACACCCTCTGGTTTCCTAGTATTGTTAAGAATTTTTGCATCACTTTACATACAACATAGATACTATATATCATAAGCAACAGTAGATTGCTATATGGTAAATAACTATCTAGATTTGCCCAAATGTTTGAAATAACTTCCTTAGCTGTGGCCCGTTAGTTCATACTCTTTGCTTTGTTCTGCTGTTGGATGTATCAGCTCCTTTGGTTATATGTATATGTTTCTTAGTTCTCATAGAAATGGTTGGCTTATATCTTGGTTCTTTTATCCTTACACATAAAGAAAAATATGTATTTGGAACACCAAGCTTTCTATGTGCAGGAAGTGTTTTTACATAGAAGAACAGGTGGGCTTGAAGTGGTGCTCTTCAAATATGAACTCTCCATGGGGATTTGTACTCATATGATTTAATTATTTTGGTAATGCATGGGAAAGGTTTTGCCGTGCTGTTAGTGGACTGGCTCAGTTCAACTCTAAACTTTATTGGCTCTTTATTCATTATTGCCTGATTAATTTGGTTAACTCACCTTCTGAAATTTGGTGGCTTTTAGATATATAGCCCTTCAAATCCTATAATGCTTCAGTAATTCTGGGAATTCGGGAAGTTGATGTCCCACACCTCTGAAAGGCATTAGATTGGGTAACTCTGGGTTAACTGCATGAAAATGTAAGGAATTCCTTCTCTAGGTTTGCTGTGATTTAATAAATGTAATTCATTTTTCCAATCTATTATCTGGCTTTCTGATTCATATATCTAAAAAGACCAACTGATAAAATAAAGTATTGACAACTTCTGTTAATTATCTTCTGTTAACAAGCTTTAGCTATAAGCTTCCTTGTATGTGCACAGTCAGTATATAAAACTGTATTAAGATTGGATGATTTTAACTGAAAGACATTTTTTGTAAAATAAAGTAGGTGCTTTTTAATCTTAATTGGAACAACATTTAATTTAGCATATCAAAACATTTTAATAACTAGAAAACTCTATTGTGTTGTTCCACATTTAAGAAGTCCTCTTAACAGGTGTTTTGTGTATCTTCTGTAATATATGACTTTTATTTTGTTGTTTCCCCATTCTGGGGCTCAGTTCACAAGACTGACAAATCCATTATGTATACATGTTTTATTTGAGATTTCTTTATACATGTTGCACTCTAGTTCATTAACAGATTCCACATGAACTATTGTACAAGCATGTTATTACTTATTTTCCCAACTTTTCCAGAGAGTGAAGAAGAGAAACCCTGAACTTAGTTTAAGCTATGACAAGAGTGCTGGCAACTTTAAGGTATCTTTGGAATTAATCTAACAAGTACAGGCACTGAATGCCAGTTGTATTTCAGCTGAAACAGGAAAGAGGCATTAGTCCGCCCTGCCATGCAAAAGCCTTCCCCCCCAAAAGCAGGCTTAGGACTGAAGATGCTCAGCTAGTCAAGGGATACTGACTGTCATTTGGGAAAGAAAACGAAGTGTGGTCCTGAAAATGGAACTGAACCATCCTGGTGAAAGCCAGCACGCCCCCCCCCCCCCCCCCAAAAAAATGTGTTACCATCCTTACCATCACCTTCAATAAAAGACAGTAAAAATTGAACAAGTAAATATCTGGTATTTCTAAGGGGCTGTTTCTTTCACAAGATATTAGATAAGAATCAGGTTGATTTCTGCGTAGATCAACCTGCCCAATTCCTCACCATCCTAAATCACAACTAAAAACTCCTTCACCTGCTGCTGCTGCTGCTGCTGCTGCTCCTCCTCCTCCTCCTCCTCCCTTGAGCCCAGCACTGTAGTGTACCTGGAGAGAGGTGGGGCAAGAAGAAAAAAATGAAGCTTCTTCCTTGTTCAAGCTTTGTATTGTAAGCTCTCTAGCTGTTTTTCTTGCACAGCCAACTTAATAGGAAAACTTTACTGTGTTTGAAAAAGCAAATGCACTGCAACTATTTATTGCAGGGCCTGTTTATTTGTTCTGTTTCCAGCTCTTGTAAATGAGGTGTTTAGGGTCTGTGTTAGGACTGAAGAGACACATGTTAAAGTTTATCCTTAGCCATGGAAGTTCACTAGATGACTTGGGGCCAGGCACAATCTTTCAACCCAACCTATCTTACAGGGCTGTTGTGCAAAAAAATAAAGCGAATGTAATTATGCTGTCGCAAGTCGCTTGAGGAAAATGGGATATAAATCTATAAACAAAGAGTAAATCAGTTTCAAATGGAAGTAGTATGACAGACAAGAAAACCACCAATGCGATTCTCCATTTTAGTTAACACCTTTCATCCGCAACTTTGCTTTCACTGAGACATACATGCAGAACATGGCTGCTTGGGTGAGTGATCTATTCTGGGGAAAATATTGTAATAGAAAACTTTTATGTTCTAGTTCCCATTCAGGCAACATC